TTTTTTGTCCCAGTCCAGCCCTGAAAGCATGTAAACCTACCAAGTATTGTTTGTTCATGGCTAACTTCTCCCGGTCGTATATTATCACTCCACCTGATCCTTTAGGGTTTTCCACACACTGGACAGGGGTCTAAATATACCATTTCAGTTGTTCATGCCATGAATTACTTTTAAGAATTTACAAATACATATACATACATTTCACAAACAAACACAAATACCTTAATTTGACCCATTGTTTGTTGATGGGGGAGGCAGAATATTGTACCCTGAAAACAAATGCAAATAAAATAGTAGTTAGCAGAACCATAGTGTGACTTATAAGGAAGTTTGGCCATCGTAATGAAGATTTGAACTCCTCAAAAGAAGTCATATATGTTTAAACTGCATGTTTTATTATGACTCTGCACTGAAGGCACTGAAAACCCACTTTTCAAGTGAACAAAAAAATTCATTATTCAGTTTACCATATGCAATGACGATAGCTTATGGATTGGCGCTGTAGGTTTCCAGACAAGAACTTTAAACACTACACCACAAGCTGTATAAAGCATGTTTGATACGGTATGTGCGACAAAAAAACTGTAATATTCAAAAGGTCTAATTATAGGCCTCAATTTAAGTGGTTAAGCATCTTGACGGATGAACAAGTGCCCAAAACAAGAAGCCAACAAAAGTTGCAACTAAAAATAAATAATAGTGAATAACAATAGCAGTAAGTTTAAGATTTTAGCAATTTATAGACTCTATAGACTACCCACAGATGCAACATGCAGCGATTTACAAAAAAAGGCTGCTAGGCTAACAGCCCGATCATTTGTAGTCACCTAAACGAAGCACTGCTGACATTGTTACGTGCTATAAAAGCTTCAGTAGTTACTGAATATTGTCAATATCTTCTTTAATAGTTATGATAGAGTAATAAAACTTGGAAATATGAACATATCATGCAATATTATTTCATGACGCAATATTTACACCCACCATGAGAACCGGGATTTTTCTTAACTAACAATAAGAGGGTGCGCCATCTAACGAAGTTCCTCCAAAGCCTAGCAACAAAAAATTATTACGAATAAAAATAAATGGCTATCAAAATAAAATTGTAATATAAATAAATAATAATTATGCCACTTTATAAATTAAACACATAATGTATAACTGTATAATAAATGTATCGTATATGATAATTATTTCTAGACAGAATCAGTAGGAGTCACAAAATCTTTCATTTTAACAACTAATATTGTCTAAGATTGTAATAGCACATTTATTACATGCCTATTACAGGCTTTATAAATAAATAAATAAATATCCATAAAAGCAGATCAAGCAATTTGTTTCATTAAAACAAACTTATCTGTCATTTCCAGTCACAACCACATTTTGCTGCTATCGTCATGTCTTGAATTTATAGAGGGTAGAGGTTTCCATCCTTTAGTTGCTCTTCAAGGCTCTTCTGAAGGTTCTTCCATGAGCTTTGGTCTCATAATCAACATGACAAATGCTAACATAGTTAATAAAAAAAAGAACCCTGAT